ATAAGGACTCAAATTTCTCCTTAAAACGTTATTGAAGTCGCTATATAAGGAACATGGACGCTAGCCCTTGTCGACACCGGCGCTGCCCTTTCAGCGATTGATGCCCACATTCGCCGCCATATCAGAAAAGTCACGACGCCTGTTTCTGGACTATGCATTCGTACAGCCAACGCGCAGCACGTCGAGCCATGCGGGGCCTGCACAGCTCGTGTCGTTATCCAGGATGTTCTTTATGCGATCGAAATCATTGTGCTGCCATCTTGTTCTCACGACGTCATATTGGGGTGGGATTTCTTCTCTACACATCATGCGATCATCAAGTGCGCCCGCGCTGAACTCGTGTTGTTCCCATTTTCGACAGATGTCATCAATGACAAGGACACATGTCGCAAAATCACAGTTTGTGACGACACCATAGTGCCTGCCCAGTCTACTGTTCTTGTCTCCATCTCTTGTGACTCTGAAGACGGCGGCTCAGTGCTTTTCGTACCGTCTGCACTTCTAGTTCGCCGCTGATTACTGCCAATGCCATTTGCCATTCTCAAGTTCCATTCAGGCGCCTGTGTGATGTACATCACCAATCCATCGCCCGAGCCAATCACTTTGCGATGCCGGGAAACCCTCGGTAAAGCCGAGCCACTGGCGTCATCTTCGATATTCAACACTATGGATGACCCCACTAATATGGCCACCCTCGAGACATTAACTCCTCGGCCACTACCGCGATCGTTCACACCAGCTATAGCCAGCAACCTTACCACGACATAACGAGACCAACTTCTTCGCTTGCTCGACGATTTCTCTTCCTCTTTTGACTGCCAAGCAAGCGCACTCGGCCGCACAACGACTGTGTTTCACATACTATCGACACCGGAAGTGGCACACTTGCCTCTGCTATTCGGCTGACATTGTCGTCTTTGTGCCAGATTTCCCGACCCATCTACAACGGTTGCATAAAGTTCTGACCTGCGTCCAAAATGCCGGTCTCCAGCTTAACTTGAAAAAGTGCCTATTCGCCGCTAGAAAATTAACTATACTAGGCCACGTCGTCTCAAAAGAAGGCATTCTTCCCAATCCTGCCAAACTTTGAGCCGTATCCGAGTTACTGAAGCCTACTACCCTGAAAGCACTGCGCACCTTCATTGGGCTATGCTCCTATTTTCGGCGCTTCGTAATTTTGCTACTGTAATCGCACCTCTCAATGCACTCCCCCAAGGTGACAACGAACTACCTACCTGGCCAAGCTTGTGAAGATGCGTTTACGACACTTCGACACCTGCTTACGTCTCCGCCAATATCGCGTCACTTCGCTCCGAGCGCACGCACAGAAATTCACACTGATGCTAGTGGTGTCGGCCTTTGTGCTGTGCTCGCACAACGTGACGATGCCAACGCCGAATACATGATTGCATATGCCAGTCGTGCACTCACAAAACCCTAAACCAATTACACCGTAACCGAAAAATAGTGCCTGGCCATCATATGGGTTCTACAGAAGTTTCGCCCCTATCTTTACGGTCGCCCTTTTAACGTCGTAACAGACCACCACGCTCTCTGTTGGTTGTCAAAACTCAAGAACCCGTCAGGTCGCCTTCCTCGGTGCGCCCTCCGACTCCAGGAATACGACATCTGGATCGTATATCGTTCTGGCCAACAACACTCCGATGCCGACGCCCTGTCACGCTTCCCACTCATTTCAGACGCCTGCGCATCTAGTTACAATCACGATATTTCGCCATTCGACATCTTGGACATGGCCTCAGGGCAACGAAATGACCTTTGGATCGCCACAATTCTAAACGTTTTGTCATGCCCCATGACCACTTTGGCTCCACGAGCGCTACGCCGCCAAGTGCAGCATTACGCTATCCGCAATGGTCTTTTATACCGCCGTAACTGCCACAACAATGGCCGCACATAGTTATTGGTCGTGTCCTTCCATCTTCGCAATCTCTGCTCCGCTTTACACAATGACCCTCAGTGTGGCCACGGTGGCGTGTTCAAGACGTACATGCGCCTTCGCCTACCCTATTATTGGCGCGGAATGTACAGCTTCGTCTGCAAGTATGTCGGCTCATGCCTCGCCTGCCAAGGACGCAAACCAGTCTCGCACCTCTCCAGCCGCTTCCCTGCCCAGCCCACCCATTTGATCACGTCGGCATTGACTTGTACGGGCGTATCCCATGCACTGGCGCTGGAAATCGCTGGATTGTCGTTGCCGTGGATCACTTGAAAGATACGCCGAAACCCCTGCATTGCCTGCCGCAACAGCCAAGGACGTTTCCTCGTTTTTTCTACGCAGCTTTGTTCTCCGCCATGGCACCCCTCGTGAACTGCTCAGTGATCGCGGCCATGTATTTCTCTCAGACGTGTTGCAATCACTCCTATCCGAATGCAAAATTATTTACCGCACCACTACCGCATATCGCCCACAGACAAACGAATTAACAGAACAATTTAACCTAACTCTTGGTGACGTGTTGTCGATGTACTTTGCGTCAAACCACTGCAATTGAGATTTTGTTCTTCCGATTGTCACATTCGTCTACAATACCGCCTCCCAAGCAACCACCGGTGTTTCACCATTCTATACGGCCGTGAACCCACTAGCACCATTGATACGATTCTGCCATATCATCCAGACGTTGACGACTACCAGCCTGTGTCTGCGGTGGCTCACCACGCCGAAAAATGCCGACAACTAACCTGTTCTTTCACCTGCGACCAACAGTGTCGCCAAAAACAGCGTCACGATTCCGACATCCTTCCTGACCTTTTCACAGTCAACTTTCTCAAGTGGCTTTGGGTCCCGCCAGTTGCTGTTCCTGACCTTTCGTCTAAGCTCTTCTGAAGTATCACGGACCCTACCGCATGGTTGCGCAGACCTCTCCTGTTAATTATGTGGTTGAACCCGTTACACCATCTTCCGAACTTCGTTGTCGGGGACGAGAAACAGTCTAAATTAACATTCTCAAGCCGTATTATGACCCTCTGACCTCTCTCTAGGTCGCCAGGATGGCTACCTCACGATACCGTGGGTTATTGTGAGAAAGAAGATGGACACATGCGGAAGCGCATTGCCATCGCCTGGCTCGCTCGGCTGTTCGCTACCTGGCTATGCTTTGCCTGCTGCTGCTGCTGCTATCTTCCAGGTCGCTTTGTACCTCAATAAACCTCCGTAACACAAGGAATTTTGTGCCAATTGATCATGCAGTGGTTGACAACAATGAGAAATTATGGTTGAAGTGGGTATGTGCCATAGTTAATAGGGAAAAAAGAACAAGCTTTTGTAATGTGTTGGAGCATTGGACGGCCCACTCGTTACCCTATTCGCATTGTGCGACGACTGGTTGTTCTTTCGCTGTTTTAAAATGCTTTATAAGTCGTATTAACACGATTGTTTTGCAGACATCAAGCCTGCCTGAAGCAAGTTTGTCAGCAAGTCACAAACAGCAGCGTAGCTCAGTGGTAGAGTACTGGGCTGGCATCTAGCGGATCCGGGTTTGAGCCCTACTGTGTCATCGGTGCTAGGTTTTTTTTAGAATTTCTCGCGATGTGGTTATGGACAACGGTGGCAACAGCGGTGGCGGCGGTGGCAGACAACTGCGTGTGACCTGAGTTGTGATCTCATAGCAGCTTTCGCTGTAAAACATTGTGTATATAATGTGTAAATAATGTGTAAATATAATCACACCACAAAAATTCTCGTGTCACGTCTTTATATGATGATGATTGAGCATATGTTCAGAGGATCCACGGTTTACTGGGTTTGACCTCTGGAGCAAGCTGCTTCATCATCATTTCGTGGATATGTGGAAATTTTTTGCTCATGAGCCCACCAAGAAAGAAAATGAAACAGAAGCATCATGAAAATGAGCACGAAAGCAAGAAAAAAAGTGACTTGTTGACACTATGCAAGCTCCCTTCCATTTTTTTTTTTGTTTCATTCATGTCAACATCCTCTCAAACTGGCTTGGCCAAAAGCCACCAATGTCGTCACAACTGAAAATTACCCTGGGATGCGCGCACAGACAGCGACGTGTTCAAGCCCGTTGTCAGCCCGGTCAACACTGCAAAAGTACACTTTATGTGCCCTATTTTTAAAGAAAAATGCCGCTAATTTCATCCAACATAGCTGATAGTCTGTTGTATCATGGTCGGTTAAAAATGAACTTTGTTCCATTAATTTAATGAGCAGACCGAACTTAGGCCAAGTAATGGTCCGTTGTATCTGAAAGCCTGCTGCATGCGAGTCCGTTATAATGAGCGTACACTGTACCGTACTACTGTGTTTCTCACTAATAAAAAGAAAATGTGGCTATTGAATAACAATTCTGATATGATAAGAAAGAGAAACACCATTCTGTAACGAGAACACAGTACCTGTGAACAGAGTATCTGGAAGTTGAAATGCTAAAATTCTGAATGTTAAATTATCGTTGCTTGACTGAAGCTTCATGATGAAGTCACTGGTCAGGTAATTATTTTCCCACACTTTTTTGCAATTAATGAACATATTTACAAGCACTCAAACATACACAGCCATTTTGATGCTGGTTTGGCATATTATTGTAACAGGAAACTTGTCACGGAATTATGCAGCACATTCTTCCTTTGCCCAGCTGGTTAAAAATGGTTCATAAACCATAAAGCAAAAAAAAAAAAAACAACAAAAAACCTCCGGTAAGGCAAACTTTGTGGTTACTGCCAAAGGGCCAAAGCAACAAAAAGAGCTTGTGGACCTGCACAAACAGTGTATCCTTCAACCTATTTCCATAAAGCCAGAATAGTCAAGCATTCAGCTATGCGTAACTGTAAAAAAAAGTGGAAGAAAAAATTAATAAAAAAATGAACAGCCGCTTTTGAAATTATGAAGTAATCTTGACTGCTGTAGGCAACGCACACATGTTATACATGTCACACACACACGCACACAAAAAAAAGCAGCAATGGCAAACTCAAGTCCTGGGAACAAGTGCACACACAGTAGAGGAGATTACCTCAGTGTAGCTTGTGAATCTCTGCAAAAGAATGCCCTTGCTGCGCTTCTGAGATGGGAGGCGTATTATATCTCCTGGTGACACTGGGCGTTTGAAAACACTGCCTTGCAGGTATTCGAAGGGCACTGCAACCGTGGGCTCCAGCAAGCCAGATGCGCCATGCGTGGCAGCAGTTTCCTGCACAAAAGATGTGGTGGAATGAACTGTTAAAGCATCAAACACCACCAAAAGGACAAACTCGCAAAGTTTTATCCACTCTGGCCCGCTACCAAACAAGCCCAACACCCATTTTAGCATTAACTTTGCCTGCCCAATGGCACCAATACATGTATCAGTTGTTCGACCACTAGCGTTGCAACATGCAGCAAACCATAAAACGTTACGTATAGCAGCTCCACTACTGAAAACTCTGAGCAACTGCGTAGTTGCGGATCCAGCGATCCTTGTTCGTATAGAGTTCCCACAGCTCCATTTACCAAAGCGTCAATGACTCTAATGTTTGAGGTAGCGTGTAAAGTTCGCCCAGCACAAGTAGAATCTTGTTAGGGAGATATGCAAACTCTGGGTGCAACACGTACTCTACATTTTGCTGTGCTGTAGTCACTTGCTGCTGCTTACAGCAGTTAAGATACACATAGTTTACAATGAGGTCAGTCCAGTTGTTTACCCCCTCAGATGCAGCGACTCAATGCCGGCGAAGCGTGGGATAGAAGTAACACTCGCTCGGTGGGGCGATGGCACCCTCTCTGTGGGGCCCTGGAGTCGGCCACATCTTTTAAAAACATTTTTGGCGACTTTAGTTCATTATTAAGATTACGCTGTGGTGGACGCAAAGCCTTTTTTTACTGCGTGTACACGCATGCGAACAACTTGGTTATTTCCGTATGTTATATAATTTACACTTTGTCCATTCATTTTAACCCGGTTTCGAGCATATGATCCGTATTGGTTGATTTACTGTGAGTGTGATAACGCCACAAGAGATGTATGGGTGAATGACAGGCTGGGCCTCTAAAGTGCTCTGCATTTTTTTAAGCAGCTTTCCTGATATGAATGCATAATTTTCAGTGCACATATTTAGCATGCCTTATAAGCTTTGGCCAGGCCATTGTTTTTCTGCAAGTCCTTCTGGAACTTGAGTATCTTATTAACCTGGAAGTCAGCAGGAATTAAACATGCATTAAACCACCTTTTCCTGAAAAACAACAACAACAACAACAACAACAACAACAACAACAACAACAACAACAACAACAACAACAACAACAACAACAACAACAATAACAACAACAACCCAGAAACAAACAAGTGAGCATACTGCCACAAGTTCAGTGCTTTTCAAGCAATATAATATCCACAGAATAGAACTACCACCAGGCAACTTTTTCCAATATCTTGCAGCTCCCCTACTCCCTTCAGTCCAAGGGCAGAGGGATGACAGAACCCTCCTACAGCATTTATATCAACCTTCTTTGAAGTTTTTCCAACTAAATTAGATAACCATAAGTGGCACCTGAAGTAAACCTTAGATAGGGTGCCTATGTGGGGTATAACATCAGCCAAACAACACAATTTTCACAGGTGCTGCCTAGAACTCTTTCACGGCAGCTTTTAAGGTAAAAGAGATGTGATAAACACTTATTCACAGATACACTGTTACTACCGTACTTACTCGCATAATCCTCGCACTTTTTTTGCCAGAAAACCGATGAAAAGTTGGGGGGTGCGAGAATTACGCGGGGAAAACTTTCTACGAAAACGTACAGAGCGAAAAAGAAAACGAAGTGGCCGCAAATCGGGATTCTCACACCAGCAACTAACAGCAAGCTTTAAGAAGTACTAATTAAAACTTACCTCAACAATAAAAGCAGAGGTTCAACACAAGACAAGATTTATTTGAGACACAAAAAGTGGAAGCAAATAGTCGAGAATTAGAATAACATACGCAAAGCTTGCGGACGTTGCGGGCGTAGCTGTAGTGTTCAATGCTCAACAGGAGCCCTCAAAAGGTAAGCGTGGGACTTCAGTATTGGGCTGATGGCTATTTGACAGAATTGTCCGCAGTTTCCTTCTTGAGAAATAAAGTTTACCATCAATCCCAGTTTTAGGCACACGGCAGGCCCAACGCGTCTGTGTGGCTTTCAGCAGCCATCACCAGTAGAGAGCACAAAACTCGTAGACTCCGAAGGGCCTACCAGCGGCCCTGTTGCCATTTTTTAGTGCATGATCTATCACTTGCAACTTGAAAGCAGCCGTAGAGCTTCAGTATCGCCTCATAACTTGACAAGGTTACCGACGCAACATACAAAACACGCCGCAACGCGCACTGGTCACTTCAGCTTGGCTTGAATTGAATTGAATCTCTGTGCAATAGTACGCTTGATGCTTAAGAGATGACGCCAGATGGCGTGTGCTATCATCATCAGTGGCTAGAAAGATCAGACGACATTATTGCAGCAGTTTTCAGGGGTGCGATAATTACTTGAGGAAAAAAAGAAATTGTATTTTTGTTGGGCGATGTGGGGGGTGCGAGAATTATGCGAGTGCGAGCATTACGCGAGTAAATACGGTAAATGGACAAGAGTCCTTTATTCCTTCTTTCAGGAATCCTACAGCCTGGACCATCCACCGGGCTCAGGAGGCGAGTTGGAACTGGTTGACCAGCTTCAGCTTTGCAATCTCTACCTCCGACACTTAGTGAAAAGGTGTGGCTCCGTGTTTGTTTTTTGTGGTTGCGGCACTTCGCACTAGAAGGTGATGCTTCCTTCACATTGCAGTGACAGGCGAGTCAGAGTGTTTGGCACTTACAATGCAGAGAGGGGCAGCTGTGTAACATCAGTTGGAAAAGGTGCAACACAACACAGTGTGTGAGTGTATTTCTCTGTAGTTGCTTGTAACTGGTGCCTTCGTTTGCATTCAACCTTCATTCAAGCCAGTAGAGCTGCAACAGTGCATGGCGGGTAAGTGGCATGGATCCTGTTTCCTCCGCTAGCAATATCGCCAGTGTAGAAAATGAGATGTGACCGATTTTGTGCAGAAAGGCACGGTTGGTGCTGGTGCAGGCCAAGGTGCGGGACACTTCATTCCCCTTGAGGCCCTGGAGTCACAGAACCATAAGTGGTGTGGGGGGGGGGGGGGGAGGAGTGTTGCTGTGTTTTAGAATCTTCATTGCTCTGGGGAAGATACTGCCTTTCATGCATGATGGACTGTGAGTAAAAGGAAATCTGTTAATCGGAACCACTGGTTCATGGTTCATGCTTGCTTACAGGGCAAAAATTCAAAGGTTTTCAAGGACTTTCAAGGCTAAATCTGTGAATATTCAAGGACTGGAGAAAACATTGAAAATATGGCTGTATTAACAATTTCTTTCTAGAGAACTTTCGACAATAGTTCCTTGGAGTCATGGATAACCACTTTCAGTGTTCCTGAATTTCAGTATTGTAGTAATCACTACTCTTGAATTTTCATATGAATTTCCACTGCCTCCTGTGGCTTAGTCTTGGCAGTCCTCCTAAGGGCATTTGGCTTGATGGTGCATGTCAAGTCACCAGCTGCCTCTGCTTTCTCTGCATACAAGTCTGCTATAGCTGTCAATTCGTTAGGGGCAGCTTTTAGTTTCTTCTTTTTTGTTAACATTTCCATCTCCTCCAAAATGACACATCTTTTTCTGTTCCTTATCCTCCTGCTTTTTCCTGTGACATGTGCAACAATGTTTATCAAAAAAAAGGAAATTCGAGGATTTTCAAAAATTTGCGAAAATTCTAGCACTTTCAAGGCCTTGAAAAACTTTCCTAATCCAAGGATTTTCAAGGGTTTCAAGGAACCGCATGAACCCTGTGCTTAAATGAAACTACTACCTCAGATATGATCGGTTTCGTAGATGAATACTGCTACGTAGTTCACCTCTCAGTAAACAGAACTGTTAAATGGAACACATTTTCCCGGTCTATTCAGGGTTCATGAAATGAGTCTACTGTAGTTGCATGCTGCCACTTGGGAGGTGTTGACAACTGTAGAACCTTTGCTTCTATAGATATAATGCCCTCTTCGACTGTGCTCGTGAATTCGGCAAGAATACGTGCCAATGCCAGTGCTGTCCACTTGTAGTCTGATGCTGAACACGAAGGCGTTTTGTCCTGGATACTTGGCTGCATCCATATATTGCATGTTTGGGTCATTACGACAGTTGCACCTGTTATCGTTTACCCAAGTAAGGTTCAGACTTGGGTTCAGACTTGGGTTCAGACTTGGGTTCAGACTTGGGTTCAGACTTGGGTCTTTGGGTTCTAGGATGGCTAGGTATCCAATGCATCAGAGGACTGCTGGGCATGTGTGTGAGAGCTAGAGTCTCTCGACATAGTAATTACGTGTTTCAGTAAGTTCTTCCTAAGCGTTGTGAACGACGATTTGAAGTAGTCGGTCAGTAGAGCCAGCTGATAGTAGTCTAAGGGCAAGCTTTGTGGCCTTTTGCATCAGTAACTTAAACGGATACTGAACAAAACTTTTTCTGCTTAAGATTTTCACTCACTTTGAAAGATTTGGTTCTCAAATCAATAGAGACAACCTTCATTCCAGGTAGAAACTACAGGGAAATAATGAATTTATTGCATTTTTCACAAACTGCCCTGTCCAACCGCTGTTCCATGAACTAGCGGAGGTGTTGTCACAAATGCCCGAAGCAGGCAAGCCAACAATGCAAGCTATCACCCCTGTCTCTCCAACCACTGAGCTCCCCCTAAAGTTCTTAGAATGACTATGAACGCACTGGTAGCAAACAATGCTCCCGGCTTGGGTAAAGTATCAGTGCATTATAAAAAGGGGGAGAGTGGGATGAAAGGAGAGATGAAGAAAAAAGGAAGAGATTAGGAACACGTGCACCCTGCATGTGCCTTGGCAATTGTGACGTCATGGCTGGCGCTCATGTGAGACTGCTGCACATTCACAATCCATAAAAAATACAGCCAGCTGTTCAAAAATATGGGAAATTAACTGTGTTTATCGAAACAGTCGCATCTTCAAAAAAGAATTCCGAAGTTACGTCAGTTTTTTTTTTTTTTTCAATTTTTGTTGTATCCCTTCAAGACCGAGTTCCGTATTTTATAAAGCTTTACAGCAGGGCTTGAAAAAGTCTTAAGGAGGCACGGTTCTTGAGACCATTGTAGTGGTTGGCCACCATTGAATGAGGGTGAGTGATTATGAGTGCCCCGTCCAGAGTCCGTTCCGTGAACTGGAAGAGGTGTGGTCACAAACGTCCAAAGTGGGCAAGCCGACAATGCCAGAGAGACGCGGACGACGGCTGGCATTGTTGGTGAGATGGGTGAGCTGTGTCACTGTTTTCTGCAGCCAGGGTAGTGTGATGGAGCTGGACCGATCCTAATGTATGTGTAGTCTGAGTATTTGAAACAAGCCAACCATTGGCACCATGATGCCCTGTAGACTTGCAGGATCAGCACCTCGTGGCTTGGTGGTCTGCCCGGGTGTATGCTCAAAGTAGTAAAAGAGTGCCAAACCACTTTTCAAAGTAGTCATTGAATGACCTCAGTATCAAAGTTTATTGCCTGATGATTTGATGGCAACAAAAATTTTTTGAATCTGTTAAAAACAAGTTGCAGGATTTGTTGCATGCTTGACAAGTGTTTCTCTTTTCTCATTCTGATGAGCCAGACAGAAGAGATGACAAAGGAACAAGCTGCGTGATGATCTTGAGCACATGCAACTAAATGTGAACACTCTCTCCCACAGCCATTCTGGTGCCTGCTAGTGTGGCTACTGCAAACTTTTGCATACTATAGAGCATAATTCCTGGCATGTAGATATACCGTGTGGCAAGAAGCGCACATCTGGCCCTTCGTTTATGTCGGCTACCTGCCAATGGCAGTAATCTGTGGCACAACAAAAATCAGTGTGACCACACTCTGAAGAGCATGAGTACACGCCTCTGAATCAAGAAAGGGTGCTTGAGAAAGTGGCAACTTCGGGCTACGCTATGAACTTTCCTTGCCATTCACGGCTGCAATATTTGTCTGAGCTGTTCAAAGCAGTGTCTGCTACTTCCTGTGCACGGTTTTTCACTAAGATCAAGGGTAGCTTCGGGACCTGTTTAGCAGTTCCAATTTTTCTGGAAACCATTGAAGCCTGCAGGTGTCAAGGTAACATTCAATGATGTTCACAGCCTCCTGAAAACAGTCCTGTTTGCTCACACCTCTTGCCCACATAATCTGCAGATAAGCATGGTGTATCCCTGGGACAGTGTCTAGGAGGTGGGAATGTTTGAAGAGGGCCAAATTAAAGAAGAGTGGCAAGGCCACCGAACCTTGCAGTGTAACTCTGTTCATGGCCTAAAATGTTTGCACAATGGTTGGCACAATGGTTGGCACATCACCCAATATCAGATGGCAGCTAGCTGCATAAATCTGAATAGTACTATGAACAGGTTTTTACTATGAAAAAAAAATTGGGAAACTATATGTTCCGCCTGTTAGCTCCGTGTGCAAGGCAAATTAAAATTAGGTTGAGATACTCATAAATTTATCCTTTGCCATAGGAATGTGCTTCAAGCTTAAAACTTCAAGGAACCCTGAAACGGTTTTGATGATTTTGTAGAAACGCATTGGGCCAGTAGACCGAAGTCCTAAGGGTCATTTACGGACATATTTGAGCTCTCTGCATAAACTGTGCAATTTATTTTGCCTTAACACTTTCGTGACCGTGCCTATCCACATCGATAGTATGTTTTCGATATTTACAACTTCAATATTTGCCCCGTTCTGAGCGCTTGTGGACATCTTTTTCCATATAATGTGTATAAAGAGAAGTATTTTATTAGCTTTGCTTTTGTGTTGCTCTTTTTTATTGCGTGGAGATTCTAAAGCACCTTTCTATACACACGCGTCAGCGTACGTAGTTTCAATGATGGAGCTGACGTCGTGTGTGATCACTCCACAAGAACGGTGAATTTCAGAGGAGTCTTGTGCATATAGGCTGAAATCTTCAAATGATTACACTAGCACAGGCTGACTAGCTAGGATGACCCTAGCTTTTCGGGCAGCAGAGTTTGCTACAAGCTCGATTGCGATGGCCATGGCATGAAGACAGTGCAGAGCGCGTGATAGCAGCGTTGATGAAAATGCCTACACAAACGCACGTGTGGGACATTTGCGGCGGTTATCAAAGAAACACCACGTGCGAGCACGTCAGGATGATTGTCGTGCTGTATTTTTGCCGACGTAACATGGGCCTCTCACAGGCGTGTCCGTGGGCATATGTCCTCTTTCACATAGGTCATTTCATTCCACCTGCAGCATGGAAGTTTCCACTCTCGAAGGCAGCAAGGCTGCCCACGTAGCACTCGCGTGCTGCTCGTTTCGCTTCTATCAAGTATAGCGGATAAATGTCAGGACAGGTGGTCACCAGGTAGCTCGCATCTTGTCAGAAACGCGGCTGTGATTGGATATGTCACGAGCGCGGTAAAATTGAATACGAGACACTGGGAAGTTTAGAATAACGTTCGCAGGTGTTCCAGGCATTGCTTTAGTTGCGGGCGCCATATGAGTTTTAAATTAGCGTTTGCTCCCCGTAAAAGTCTAGAGACTTTCGCCCCAACTGCTAACCCAAATGCACAGAAGCTACGCACAGCACTTCGCGGGCCTCGTGGGCTGCGATCGCCACATGCTATTTCGGATTTTCTGCGGCCAAGCTGCGAATGCGAGCCGCTGCTCGCATTCGATTGCACCGCAAGCGACCGCATCGCAAGGGCTCGTGGCGCTAGTATAAAACCTCTCTTATAGTAGCCGCATGGTGACATAACCTTTATTTCTGCGTGTGTGTGTGTGTAGTTTGCGCGATAGAGGTGGTAGATGAACCGTGCGCTCGCTGCCGTTGCGGCGTGAGCACTGCTCCTCGGCAAGAGTAAAAGTGGTAGGCGGACTCTATATTTGCCGCGGGCGTCTGTCGATGAAACTGATAGACGCGTGAACTCAAATATAAACTCGTTGATTCTGAGAAGGCCTGAGTTCAACTCGTGACTGAGATGGTGCCTATGTAACTGTCAAGCCCTTTTTATCCCACTCTGTTTGTGGACATGCTTCTCCTGAAACGTCGACTACATGTCACACCGTTCGTGTGCGACGCGGACTACGTGTCACTGGCACGCCGGTGCACGTTCCTTGCGGTGCATTTGGGAGCATTCCCCCGCTCTTGTGGGACGCAGACAGCGTTCTCGTCGACGAGCACCGCTTGAGAGAGCTTAGCTGATGGGCGTCTCTTGCACGTCCAGTCCCCAGTCTTGAGAGGGTGCACTTCTGCGCTCAGCTGAACGACAAACAAATGAAAGAAGATGCCTCTGGTTTGAAAACACCGCCTGACTTAGTAGACCGTCCTTGATGCGATGACTGGTTCCATCGTAAGCAATGAAACGCAACGCGCATGAGGGGTGGATTTGACTTTTTCGTATTGTTGGCTCGTTCATAAGGGGGTGTCGCCAGAGCTTAGGAAGATCTGGAGTTTCACGAAATCGGGCGAAACTTGCTTTTTGCTTCTTGGGTGGGGGAGGGGAAGAGCACTGTTGTAGCTTAGGCAATGGCATGTGCTGGTGTGGCTTGAGGGGGGCAAGTGCCCCTTTTATACCCCCCTGCTGACGCCCATGCAAGCAACTATGCAGCAGAGGTTGCTACTACAGCAATCCTCTTAAGCCACCTTATTTTATCGTCAAAGGTAAGGAAGATACCGACCAAAAACAAAAGAACTTCAAAATAAAAAACGTTTTGGTTCCCACACAGGGGCCTTGTTCACAATGTCTTTTCCTATGACAATGAGCGTTCCCAACCAGACAAGTTTTCGTCATACCGACATCACATCACATCAACCTCGACACACATTTTTGCGTATGCATTCACTGCACTGACTCATGTTTGTGTTTCGCTTCCTGCATGAAAATCTTCTCAAACTACAGTTGTCTAGAACTGTGGCCGAAAAGGATTAGACATAGTAGTATAATCAAAATTCAGCCGGAAACCATTCGGTCACTGACACTTTTTACTGCCAACATTGAACCAATCTTTCATCCACTTTTCACCTGATGGCATTTCAGAAAGACGGACTTCTCGGTTTCACTTGAGCACGAACCTTCATTATCACTGCGAGCTGCAGATGGCACCCACTACCGCATGCATGTTTTGGTTGTAAATCGTGAGCCTATGCATCTCTATGCATGGCAAAGCGTGAAGTGGACACGCATATTCTCATGTTGATCACAGGATCCAAGTGAGTCAAAACTCACTTGCAAATCAGTTATCTCTGCTACACACTTATCAATGTGACACAATTGGCTGTAGCCTGTATGACCATTTCTGGAGAGAACCAACAATAGTGGTCAGATATGCTGTGGCTGTAGTGAGATTTTGGCTGTGCATAATTGCCATTCACAGAACATGTGTGGTGAATTCCAGCACAAAATCCCACAGAATGGCTTTAATCCCTCTTCTAAAAATGCTTGTGCAGGGCAGGCTTCAGAAGCCCGAGTTTGTAGCCACTCTGCCATGGCAGCAATTATTTTTTTGCTGTTTGAAATTTGTTTTCATAGCATCAAGTACGCGAAGCAACAAGATGAGCAAGCAACCTACCTCTTCTGCAGAAGAGCAAGGCAACTTGGTAACATCGTCAGCCGAGTCGCTGTCGATATTTGGCACGTTTTTTTTGTCGGTGGTGCTAAAAGTTGGCGAACACCCAAGGGTGAGGGGCGAGTCTAAGAGCTTCTGGAAGGACTCTGGTAGATCGGGCACTCGTTCCTGTCAAAAAGTAGATGCAGTCAGTATTAAAAACTGTTATGCAACAAAAACTGGCTGAGCACAAGCATTAGCCAGTTATTTATAATATAGGTCCCACACAATAATGCTTTAGTACCAGAAGCATGGTTCATACAGGTCCTTTAAAACCTTCGAAACCCTCGAGTTTGAAAGGTATCTCAAGCTGACTGGAAGCATCACTTGCTTGACAGGGAAAAAAGGAGCATTAATACAGAAGACAAGAGTGAAGTCATTAGGAGGTAAGCGGAGAGAGACAACATGCACCAACGGCTTAAGAAGAAAAATTAACATTAAAACACGAAACAAACAAACACAATACACGCAAACTCACATGTTGTATGTTTCTGAAAAGGAAACTAGGTTGTACTGGGCACTTTAGACGGCTGTAATCCTGAATTCTAGGGTTTTAAAGGTCAGAATACAACTTTCAGACCTTCAAGATCCTTGAGAACCTTTCAAGTTTGGAAATTTTATTCCAACCTTGAAAACTTTTGAATTTCAGGACAACTGCAGTCTGAAATCCACAGGACGCCGTGCTTTCCATTTCAGAAAACATACACCATGTGAGCCTCAATGTATTATATTTGTTCCTTATGTTCATTTCCCTTCTTAATTGTGTATATTGTCTCTCTCCACTTACCTCCTAACGACGTTACTCTTGTCTTCTGCATTATTGCTGCTTTTTTCCCAGCCAAGCAAGTGGTGCTTGTGGTTAGCACATAGTGAAAATGTCAGGCCTTGCTAATACTAAAGAAGTCTCAGCACTTGTCCTAAACAATTGTGTGTTGAGAACTGCTTTAGATAGCATCAGGGTTAGACTTTCCTACAGTAGAATAATACAGTTAAAACTTGATTTTACACAATTCCAATCTAAGGAACAAATTTGCATTCCCGACAGGTGCTTATTTCGTTCAATGACGTTGTCAACCCGAATTACAAAACAAACTTCTAACCAAAACCGTCGTAACAAAGTTGTTCTGAAATAAATTAGTAAAAATAGGTTCTACTTTCTTTATTTATTACACAGATGACTTTTTTCTTGAAGTGCAGACACTAACACTATTGCATGGAAACCTCTGTCACTAACAGTTACAAAACCACATGTATGGGACTGTGGAGTAAACAGTTGCCCTGTAATTTACAAGACGGTGCAACAGGTGGTAGGGGTTTATTGTTCCTGATAATATTAGCACAGGATCCCTACAATGTGGTTAGGTTATTTCATTATTTATGCAAGAGGTTATCTCCTTGAACTTTCTTGCTCACCCAGCTCACATAATAACTGCATTTTCCTCTGCTTTACATTTTGACTGCAAGTTGTATTTGATGTGACTGCCTACCTGGTCTGCACCACCCGGACCACATATGTAGGCATCAATGTTCAGGACTCACAAACAGACATTTCACATGAGCACATGTGGGTTAGCGGCAAAAAGAATGCCATGGTAGATTTTGGGTGCCTCAATGTTACAACTTTAAGTTTCAAAGGACTGAAAAACCTCTTTCAATTTTACAAACTTCTTGATTTAACAAAACAATTTCAGCATGGTGACGACTTTGCTAAATCGAGTTTTAACTGTATAAGTGTAATAATTTGATTGGAATTTGTTAAAGTAAACAAATAAAATCCTCATTTGAATGCAGTTTTTCAGTCCTTGAAAACATGCAATGTGCCCTTGAAATTCTTTTTATATCTTTGAATTTTCTCCTTTAAAACCTGTAGGCAGCCTCCTTTTAAGGGGCACCTCATCATGTTTGGGCATCAGAAGCAAAGACGTTGCTGCTATTGTCTGCAAATTATGAAATGGCTGCACAGGATGTAAGAAAACAAAATTTCACACAGAACTCCATGCACCCTTCCTCTTGAGAAATCTCGATTTCCAGCCGCAGTCAAAGTTAAACACTCAAAAATGTGCCCAGATAAAATGCTTGCAATGTTACTGAATAGGCCAGGTAATATCAGTAAATCACTAAATGCATACTGCACAGTGCTGCCGGTACGTCATGCAGCTTTATAAAAAAGGTGCTAGCCCTTTGGCAGCATTTGAACGAGACAGTACAGTCTATTTTCAGCCTATTTCATGTCCACTGCAGGAAAAAGACCTCTTCCTTACAAAAAAAGAAAGAAAAATATTTAAATACACTATAGATAGTGCCCTACAACTTTCGGTTCGAAAACTAAATGCTGAAATATTAAGGAATTTCGGAAAATTAAACACATAACGTAGTCTTTAAAAAAGAACAGGCGAGTGCTTACATTCATTTTGCTTGGCCCTGGAAAATTCTTGGAAAATAAAAAAGACAACCCTAAGAGTGTGCATGATACAGAGTTGGCAGCCCTACAAACAAAATCCAGAACAGACATAGCTCTTGCACTTTACAACTAGCAGCAGCTAAAGACTTTCCATCTTTCAATAAAAGATGATGACATGATGCATCTAGCCTAAACTGGATGCCACCTACAACTCACTTATGTAGTCAACATGCAGGCTTAGTTTTAGTTGCATGGTGAACACACTAGAAGAGAGTAGCACATGAAAATGTTTAAACCTATGGTCATGAACAAAAAAATATAATGGGAACCTCATGGTAAACACTGGCCCTGTTCATGTGACAGACATCTAGTCATTACTCTTAACTGAGAATGTGAACAATGGATGGCAAAGGCCAATGAGGATGAGGACATTGCAGAGAGCTATCACAAACCCATGTATGCATGTTTCTCAAAATCAAATGGCAAAGAATCAAACTTTCCACTTCTGAATTTCGTCAAAGTTTCCCAACACTTCTGCCCAAAAAAATGACTGATTTCAGCATCACAATTTTTGTAGCAAGGATACTCTGGGTTGCCTAAGGTAAGGTAGGCTTATAGCGCATAGCAAAACTTGCAACAAAAACACACCAAAGGGAGACAATCCATTTCAATTTAGCAAATTCCCTTCGCTAGCAAAGGTTTAGCGTAAGGTTGTGTAACTACACAGCATACAGTAGTAAGAGAATACCTTACTAGAACGACCAAAGGAATACCATATTTGCATACAACGCTCCAAACAAAATGACTACACATTTCATACCTTCAATAGTCCACATATCCATGCCTGCAAAATCTTTGAATGCAAGTGCATCATGCTTTTTTCAGAATATATATATATATATATATTTATTTATTTATTTTCAGTGATTGAGAAAATTTAATTTGGCACCCTCTGTAAGCACTGTCATATGTTCACTCATAGTGTGCTGTAGCTTTTAGTTTTGACTGATGGCAATAAAGCAAGAGACTTGGCCAAAGAGTCTGCAGCGAGCTTTAAATTGTCACCGCCTCTCTTACATATTGCTTGAAGCACAGAGGATGGCCAGCATAGAAAGAAACTCTAGTGCATCAATTGCCTAGCGATGACAGGATCACTGGCAAAGCCACTTACCAAAAAGCAGTCCTCAAGACTTGACACAAAACCGTCGTCACTGTCACCAGTAGAGATAAAATCCAGAGCACTTGCTCCTTCCAATTCCTGGAGGCCATCCCAGGATGCACTCTACATACATAACATGTCCTTTGATCAACAAAGCAAGCTCAATCTGTGAATGCACAGATCTGGTGCGTTTTGCACTGAGCAAACTTACAGAAATTAACAAAGCCCTGCAATGACATCTGCACAAGACTATTGTTAAAACAAAAAGAATAAAAAAGGGGAATGGGGATCAATATATAGAGCCTGCACAGTGGGCATTCAGATGTCATAATAGGAGCATTTCTGTTAACTTCAACCACATGGGTTTATTATGGGTGCATTTAAATCTAAGTAAACTGTCATTTTTGCTCTTCACACACAGAAATGTGGCCACTGCAGCCAAGTATCAGACCCACTTCATCACTCTGCAGCGGAATGTTACGTCTGAGCCACTGCAGCGGACTAATTGAAGAGCATGGAGAGCAAGAGGGTGGACCTTCATCAGTGCTTTGATTATGAACACAGCACCCTACATAAAACAGATGTTCATACCATCATGCCTGACAACAAACGCCCATGCATAACCACCACTTTTGCCTACTTATTTTTAAGAACTATAGAAAAATTAGAGAATGCAATGAACTTCCCGAGGATATAGTACACTTGAGTGACAACAGTGCTATTTTCTCATCGTCCTGAATTGTGACGTGTATTACGCCTTTTATACCTGTTTGCATGCTGCAATTGTTGAATGTTATTCTTGTTGCATTCTGTTTTTGTGTATGATAGTCATTCACCATATTGGCTTTGCATGTGCACCCCCCCCCCCCTCTGCAGTAATGCCACTACGGCATTGCAGGAAGTATGAAAATAAAAAGTAAAAAACAAATAAAGCATAAAGCTGTTCAATGTAGACAACCACATAACAGTATACAACAAAAAGTTTGCAAGCAAAAATGAGCATCACTGTCACAAATCCAGTACTCCGTACTCCTTAAGTATGGTCCACAATGGTCCACCCGTAACATTATAGCACGCAGACAGAATTCTTGAAAATTACTTCAATTCACATTGAAAAAATTTTTGACGCAATACATGAAATTTAGGCTGGATGTGTCGCTTAATATTGTATAGAAGACACTCGGAATTTCACAAAAAGACCGCTCCTTTCTCTTATATCCCCAAGTTGTGCAAAATGTTACTTGTTTATTTTGAATAAATTTATTTTATCAAAACTTGATTATAAATTAGATTAACCATTTTCTGCTAGCCTCTAAATCAGGAGAAGGTTGCAAACATTTCAAAACACAGCTTTTGCACAGATGACAAGAAATTTGCAGTAGTTTTTAAAGCAACAATTTTTAATCATGAATCCACCAGCAGATAAAGGGATCAACTCCACCCATTGAGCATGCCCAGAAGCAGATCAGCAGGAGCACTGCACCAGCCACAGCTTAATGTAACCAACACTCCCCCCAGTTCTCAGGTGTACACACACTAATTCATATATTGGCACATTCATCCCCACTGGTGTGCCAATGCAAGATACAAGCAAAAAAAAAATTTATAGGAGACTACACAGTCTTTTACATGGGCAACAACCTAACCAATCTATAAAGACCAAATTGGAGTGAATATGAAACAATAAAAGCTACACACCTCATCAGATGACTTCTTGCCTGAATCTGAACTGCAGCTGGGTGCATTTTCTTGTGAGCCACAGCTGCTTGCATGGCTACTAGAAGAATGTATTCCTTCGTCACTATCATGGTGCCCCTAAAAAAAAAAAAAGGAAAGACTAAGCTACCATTTTCTCCTTCAACACACCTTATATTCATGGTACATACTGTTACATTCATAACATCCAAATCCCCAGAATTTTTTTTCTTCAACATACTCCAGACTTGGAACAATATAAGTTAGGGAGGCCTAACGACACCCTATGATGGTCAGTACCAGGAGGCTTGAAATAGGAGAATCAAGGACATATAGAGCAAATTTTACTAATTGAATGCTACATTTCTTACTACCCTACACAAGGCAAACATAACATAATGCTCGATTTTCTATGCTATAATCTAGCTGAAAGCGCCATTTCACACTTGCAGTGTGTAGAGAAAGGTTCTTTGACAATTTTTTTTATATCATAATTCTTCGTTTTATTTTACATTTAATTATGCATGCCAAGTCCTTCTGTATATCCTGCTGTATGAAACATTGTGTCCCATAAAATTTATGCATACAGAGCTGCATTCTTCGTGGACTATTTTCGTGGACTATTCTTGAGTTTTCAATATGAATCGATGACTACCTGTATTACTAAAAGCTACATGTACATCACGTGCTTTACTTTTTGCCAGTACCTCCCGATACCTGATAACAGGGTTGCAGTTATGAGCGGGGAAACCTTATCCTTCTATTTACTTGAGGTAGACCGTGTTTATCTTTCATTCTTTTGTCGATTTAAAATGGAGCCCTCAGCATAAGTTGTATGATAGAATATTATTTGATTTGATTTAAAAAGCTACTGTAAAAGCAATACTTGCTTTATTTATAAGCAATTAACCAGTTGTGAGCAAATGTTTTCAGCATTCATAACATTACAGGGAGTTGTTGCAGAAACTGGGAAGTGGTGTTTCTACCTTAGTCCACCTTTAGACATAATAAATGTTTGGAAGAACACTAACATTTGTTTTATGCATGTTGCAAAATAGGAAATCGTGGTGAGGGTCATAAAACCAGCATTCTTGTCCATAGGACATCCTCAGCAAAAACCTGTCATTAAATGGTGGCTAAGTGGGACTTTGTGGATGCCGAAAGAATTTCACTTGCAGAGTTATATAACCTGTTTGCTACCTGTATCTATTTTTGTGGACATGACTTGTTAACAAAATTCAACAGCAAACTGTTCCGTGTCATTTAAAACTCGTGCCTTTGTTAACAAAAGCATCCTTTACCCATACCACAAGAGGTAGCAGCAAAAGTAAACATTAGCATTAAGCAAAAAAAAATGATAGAGGGCAGATCTTGCAGCTTAACGCTGCTTAGGAGTAAGTGCTTAAGTTTTGCAAATCAACATCTTTTGCATACAAAGTAGTGTGAACAAAAGTTGTGCTTTATTATTTGACGCACTGAAAGATGCACTTTGTATTTGCCGGTGATGTTTTTTCCAGCTGATGTCCCCATTTCTAGACGCCCATTTTAATCAGTCAGAAATGACATCTCTTATTCTTGCCTACATCTTTCTCTTTTTCTTTGCCTACATGCATCACCATAAGAAGTTGGCATAGACTCAGAAGTATGTTGGGGAGCAGCATAGCACAAAAGACGGAATTGATACACAATACACACAATCTTTTAAATATGGAAACTATGCAAAACTAAATAAAAATACTAGGAAATGTCTTTGAACAAGAGGCACCACATCTGGCTTACTGAATCAGTATTCATGGTGGTATTATGTATGAGTAACTATGTTTAGTTCTATCTAATACCATTATACTAATTGAGGATCAAGTAGTTTTAATCAATTGCATTTGTTTATTCTTCAAATTTATTAACTATTTTTCAAATTAATATATACTCATTACTAAATACTGCTAAAACTAAACTTCTTTAGAGTTATATGGCTGTTTAACGTTACCACGAGCCTTTACAAATGATGAAATCAAAACCTTGCCATTCTCAGCCTTTTCATCAAGTACTTGTTGACCACAACAACACATCACAATCCACCTTTTTTAGCAGAGTTATTGGAACAAATACTGCCCACTCTAGGTTAATGAGTTCTCATTAATGTTGGGTCTAATAAAGAAAACAGGCCCATAAAGGGAGGTACTACTAAAAAACATTACATTTCATTTTTCTTTGCTTTCACAAGTACAGTATCCCTACTTTCACGAAGAAAATTGAAAAATCAAGATTGTAAATAAACTCAAAGTTGGTTAAAATCGCCTTTCAAGAGCACAAGGTGGCTATTATTATTAAAAAAAAGCCGATTGTCTAAAGTCCCCCGAAAAGTTTCAGTGCGCAGCTTGCCATTGCATTTCGCAAGAGGAGTTCACCAAAGTTACATGCTCAAAATAACCACGGCTCTCAAGTTATCATGATGAAAGAAATCATTTTAAAAAGTGCATTTTTGCCACAAAGATGAGGTTTCATTCCTCTGTTTAAAATGCGTTTTTCTCACGAGGCGATTGTGGGCAACTTCTTCAGATTGGACGTCATGCTTTTGATACCTTGATTGCCAGATAGGGATGAAAATTTTCTCGCATTTCTTAAGAACATGTGAAGAGTGCAATAACATCTTTTAAAACGTGATATCATTTAAAAAATTATTATGAACCTAAAGTAAGAGTCTTCTCACACATTAATTTTTCTTGTGCATTAAAATGTCTTATGAAGCAATACGAGTTATTAATAGTTCATAAAAATAAAAGTTCAGTGGCGGAAAAAGTGTGTCCAAAAAGAGCTATATTTTACATACTGTCATGGTAGAAAACAAAAACTATACAACTTTACATTAAAACCGATTACATATTGTAAATCAGTGTAAAAATTATGTAACCGGTAAAAATTTCATTGCCCTAGGCTATCGATGTGAGAAACCGTTTTTTCGAGTAGCATTTACCCTTCAATTTACAATTCTTTCCTTGCCCACTCTAACATATGTTAAAGAAGCACCTCGCATTACAACATTTGTTTCATATTGACAAGCATTGGCAGCAACATCAGGCTACAATGAGAAGTGCTTAACTCTTTCATTACCTCGCCTACTCAAATCGATCACCGGTGATCGACGCTTTTAGATCGTCGATCTTGACATGTTAAATTTGTTTCTCGTACACCCAGCACTGTCTAGTAGGTAGTCCAGCCACTCAACTTACAGTATCAATTTGAATTTGCTCTTTTTAGCAATATATTGATTTTTGACAGACCTTTATGTGAACCAATGTGCGTGTACTGTTGTGGTAAAGTCAACTAAGCTGGTGAACTTCACAGTAGTGTGTGCCCCTAGTGATTATGCTACAGTAACATTGAAACACGCACGCACACACACACACGCACACATGCACACGCACACGCACACACACACACACACACACACACACACACACACACACACACACACACACACACACACACACACACACACACAGCAATGATGTAGTGGTTAGAGTATCAGCCTTGCTTGCACGAGGTCCGTGGCTCCGATCCCGGTGTCGTGAAGTTTCCAACCAGATTAAAAAAAAAAAAAAATCTGCGTGACCATGGAATTTCATTAAGAGGCCTGGGGTGCAGCCTTACCGGTTACCACCGCCGGTAACGCACTCCCTCATTATAGAAAGATTGGCCACCCTGGTGCAGTATCTGGCCACTACCTCCCACATACGTACGTCAATTAAGACACGGCCCTCAGTCCCCAGCGGCTGTGAAGCAGCTGACCACGGCGGCAATCAGATCTGCGATGCAGCAGAGGGTGCTAAGAATCTCTAGGACTGGACAGGCCACCACTGGAAGCTGAACTTGGCAACGTTTAACGCTGGAACCTTATCTAGTGAGGCAAGTTTAGCTGTACTATTGGAGGAGCTAAAGGGTGTTAAACGGGGTGTAATAGGGCTCAGCGAGATTAGGAGGACAAATGAGGCCTATACAGTGCTACAGGATGGGCACGTCCTTTGCTATCGGGGCTTGGCAGACAGAAGAGAACTGGGATTGGGGTTCCTAATTCACAGAAACATAGCTGGTAACATAGAGGAATACTATAGCATTAATGAAAGGGTGGTAGGTATAGTAATTAAACTCAGTAAGAGATACAAGATGAAAGTGGTAGAGGCTTACGCACCTACATCCAGCCATGATGATGTGCTAGTTAAAAGCTTCTATGAGGACGTGGAATCGGCAATGAGTGAGGTAGAAGCACAGTACACAATACTGATGGGCAACTTCAATGCCAAGGTAGGGAAGAAGCAGACTGGAGACCAGGCAGTAGGAGATTATGGCGTCAGTACAAGAAATGTCAGAGGGGAGTTATTAGTAGAATGTACAGAACGCAATTATTCACGAATCTAGAATATCTTCTACCGAAAAGGAGGAAACCGTAAACCGAAAACGAGAAAATCGTAAGTGGAGATGGAGGAGCCCTAATAGTGAAAGTAAGAACAAAATAGACTTAGTACTGAGTGCATACCCAGGAATTGTGCCGGATGTGGAAGTGTTTGGCAAGGTGCGATGCAGTGACCGTAGAATAGTTGATTGATATGCGGGGTTTAACGTCCCAAAACCACTATATGATTATGAGAGACGCCGTAGTGGAGGGCTCCGGAAATTTAGACCACCTGGGGTTCTTTAACGTGCACCCAAATCTGAGCACACGGGCCTACAACATTTCCGCCTCCATCGGAAATGCAGCCGCCGCAGCCGGGATTTGAACCCGCGCCCTGCGGGTCAGCAGCCGAGTACCTTAGCCACTGGACCACCGCGGCGGGGCGACCGTAGAATAGTAAGGTCTCGAATCCGCCAAGACTTGAAGAAGGAACAACAAACTGATACGCAAGAAGCTAATCCATGAGCTAGCTCTAAAAGGGAAAGCACAGGAATTCAGAGTTTCACTTCAAAACAGATACTCCGCTCTTTTCGAGGAAACCAGCCTTAGCGTTGACACAATGAATGATAACCTGACGAGTCTCATTACAGAGTGTGCAGTGGAAGTTGGAGGTATGGTAGTTAGACAGAACCCTGGAAAGCTGTCTCAGGAGACGAAAAATCTCATTGAA